CTGGACTAACCAGACTTTCTGGTTTTCACAGTCTGAGTTGGGATGTGTTAGAGTCTACACCACCTTTTTCTAGGTCTTTCTACATTGGCCTCCTTTGAGTCCTTTTTATTGATTCCAGAGCCTTGATTTCCGGCCTCACATGGGTCCAGCAGGGACTGACTAATCCAGTACTGCTGTTCCACCTCCCTGTTCTGTTTGTTTGTTAACAGATATGAGTTGGTAACAACTGTCTACAGATTGTTCTGAGCATATTTGAGGCTATAAAAAACTTTAGCTGGGGACACACAACTCATTCCTGAAACTACTTGAGAACTTTATGGTAGAGTGGAAAGACCCAGGCCCTGCCACCTGTCAGTTCTGAGGTCAAACCGTGCCTCTGTCACTTACAGGCTGTGTGGCCATGAGCAAGTCACTGATTATCTCAGTGTTCCAGGTTCCTCCCTTGTATGATGGGAGTAATGGTGCTCTTAAGGATCAGAAGTGAGTATGTAAGGAACCAGGCACTTAGGAGGCACTGAATGAAGTATTTTATCATCACCATTGAAATCATATCAGGATGTGCTGATATTGCAGCCCAATAATTGAGGGGACACAGCATACAAACACCATCAGGATGTAGGTGGGGTTCACCAGGGGAAGGTTTTCTGGAGTCAGAGTTTGGAGCCCTGAATCAATGAGTAGAGCTATGGGGAAAGGACAGCAGGTTCCATCTGAGGGAAAGAGCTAGAATAAGAGCAGACACAGCTCTAGGGATGGCTGCACTGCAGGGTCTGCAGGGCAGCAGAGATCAAAGGCATTCGTTCAGTGTTGCCTATCGTGACCCACGTGCTCAGCTCCCAGTCAAAGGCTACAGAGGCCTCGTTCTGGTTCTGGTGGAGCTCAGTGTGAGGTGAACTGAAAATCAGAAAAACCTGTCGGAGGCACCATGCAAGAGGTACTAAGCAAGGCTGAGCAGGGCATGGATTCAGGGTGGGTGGGAGGGGCCTCTGATTGCCCAGTCTTGCCCACAGGGTGTCAGGTCACTGGGCAGTGGAGCTGCTCCTTCCCTCAGGCAGGGGCTGAGAGCACCCCATGCCTCACGTGGCGCTTCTCTCCCAAGGCTCTTGAGGGGAAGGGCCCCCATCCCGCCTCATCATGTCTCGCCGAAGCCAGCGCCTCACCCGCTACTCCCAGGCTGACGACGACAGCAGCAGTGGTGGGAGCTCGGTGACGGGCAGCCAGGGCACCCTGTTCAAAGACAGCCCTCTCAGGTAGGGGAATCTCAGAGCAGAGGGCTCGAGCAGTTCACGGTGCAGCCCCTTCCTGTTGCCATATCTGTGGGCAGAGATCAGATGCCCATATCCGGTCAGGGGGACATTCACACCTTTGAGGATCCGGGACCCTGCCCTGTTTCCTGTTTCTTCTTCCCCTGTCATAAGCCAGGCTGCTGCCCTCATGTTCTGAGAACAGGAAGTGGGGAGAGGCAACTTCAAGAATAAGCCAGGCCAGCTGCCCCGAAACTGCCAGCTGGGCTCACAGGAGCCCTTTTTGCTATGGACGGGCATGCCCGACCAGCCATCCTCCCCAGACCCATACCTAGGCGTTGCACCCTCTGTAGGGCCTCCGCAGGGCCAGCGAAGTCGCCGCGCCGGCTCTTGTCCTGCGCCGCCGCTCCCCGGCCTCGCGCAGAGTGTCGCTCGCGGGAGTCAGACGCGGGAGGGGGGCGCGGCGGTCCTCCGAAGCCCCCAGCGCCGCACCGAACAGCGGCAGCAGCAGGTAACAGACAAACGTGGGCCTCCGGCGGGCGGACGCGCGGGGCGCGAAGGTAGCGCGCCTACCTCGTGCCCCTCCCCGCGGGCTCCTGGCCCGGCCTGATCCTGGGGTCATGGGCCGCTCGGACCAGAGCTGAGCTGCCCAGGCCTGGTGCTTCCTCTCCGGGCCAAGCCGGGCCAGGCTCCAGCCCCGCCCGGCGCACGCCCCTGGGCCGGTCGGGAAGGGCCAGCGCGGTGCCAGGCCGGCCGCCGTGACTCATCGCCGCCGCCAGGCCCCCGCGCTCGGGTGGCCACCTCACTGGTCAGCCCGGAGGGCGGACCTCTCCGGGCGGGACTTCCCCCGCAGAACCTTCCCCGGAGGGGGGAGCGATCCCGGGCTACCCCAAAGCGGCCCAGGGCAGTGCCTGTGTGTTCGTGCCAGCCAGGCAGTTTCCAGGGACAGGCAGTTCTCTGCCTCTGCCACCGCCTGTCAGAACTCTGGGAACAGGAGGAAGACCCATTTTGTTCAGTTCTAAAAAAGAAAAAGAAAGAAACGAAACAAATAGGGGGTGGAGTGTGACTGAGCAGAGAGGCAGGGAGTGTGCGTGGTTGTTAAAAAAAACAAACAAACCTGCAGGTTCAGCCTGTAGGTAAAGTTAAGGCGGAAGGCAATTGGCACCTGGAGCGTCAGGTCCCAGGAGGGAATGTAGCCTGAGGTTGAGTGTAAGGCCGGGTGGAACTGCCGTGTAAATTTGTGATGAAGGGGCTGGGAAGAGTAGAGTTGGGAAAGGACTGAGTTCAGCTCAAAAGTAGGGAGGGAGGTTTTATTTGGGGGTTTCTAAACTGATTGTGTGTGTCGGGGGGAGGTATTCTGATGTGTAAAAGATTTGAGCTCCTGGCGGCTTACCTCTTGCTTTGGAGGATGGGGCCTTGACCTTTTTCATGTGGTGAATGCTCCAGAAAAGACTGTGTGGCACCTCTGAGAGGACAGAAGCCAGCGCTGACTGTTGACAGTTTTCAGGCCCCCCACTCCACACCACCACACACACACACCTTCACCTCCATCTGAGTATTTATATTCTTGCCAGCAGCTGCTTGAGTACTGTATAAACACGGTGCTTCTTTCTGCCCTAGGGCAAGGCTTCATCCACTTCAGCAGGGCCCAGGGTTCCCAAGAGGCGCCTGTGTGGGCATCTGGTGCTTTCAGGTGGGAGGGCAGTCGTGGGGGTGGCATTACCTTATAAGGACTGGAATATAGACAAGGACTCAGTCCAGCTTCCTGCTTGACTACTACCAGTTGGTGTCTTTACCATCACTAGCTAAAACCAGGGAGGCATGCCAGGTGGGCATCCTACCTGGGAGGGTACCAATAAGACCAAGACATGAGGCTGCTTTTCAGAAGAGGACTTTCTAGAATGATCCAACTGGACTAACCAGACTTTCTGGTTTTCACAGTCTGAGTTGGGATGTGTTAGAGTCTACACCACCTTTTTCTAGGTCTTTCTACATTGGCCTCCTTTGAGTCCTTTTTATTGATTCCAGAGCCTTGATTTCCGGCCTCACATGGGTCCAGCAGGGACTGACTAATCCAGTACTGCTGTTCCACCTCCCTGTTCTGTTTGTTTGTTAACAGATATGAGTTGGTAACAACTGTCTACAGATTGTTCTGAGCATATTTGAGGCTATAAAAAACTTTAGCTGGGGACACACAACTCATTCCTGAAACTACTTGAGAACTTTATGGTAGAGTGGAAAGACCCAGGCCCTGCCACCTGTCAGTTCTGAGGTCAAACCGTGCCTCTGTCACTTACAGGCTGTGTGGCCATGAGCAAGTCACTGATTATCTCAGTGTTCCAGGTTCCTCCCTTGTATGATGGGAGTAATGGTGCTCTTAAGGATCAGAAGTGAGTATGTAAGGAACCAGGCACTTAGGAGGCACTGAATGAAGTATTTTATCATCACCATTGAAATCATATCAGGATGTGCTGATATTGCAGCCCAATAATTGAGGGGACACAGCATACAAACACCATCAGGATGTAGGTGGGGTTCACCAGGGGAAGGTTTTCTGGAGTCAGAGTTTGGAGCCCTGAATCAATGAGTAGAGCTATGGGGAAAGGACAGCAGGTTCCATCTGAGGGAAAGAGCTAGAATGAGAGCAGACACAGCTCTAGGGATGGCTGCACTGCAGGGTCTGCAGGGCAGCAGAGATCAAAGGCATTCGTTCAGTGTTGCCTATCGTGACCCACGTGCTCAGCTCCCAGTCAAAGGCTACAGAGGCCTCGTTCTGGTTCTGGTGGAGCTCAGTGTGAGGTGAACTGAAAATCAGAAAAACCTGTCGGAGGCACCATGCAAGAGGTACTAAGCAAGGCTGAGCAGGGCATGGATTCAGGGTGGGTGGGAGGGGCCTCTGATTGCCCAGTCTTGCCCACAGGGTGTCAGGTCACTGGGCAGTGGAGCTGCTCCTTCCCTCAGGCAGGGGCTGAGAGCACCCCATGCCTCACGTGGCGCTTCTCTCCCAAGGCTCTTGAGGGGAAGGGCCCCCATCCCGCCTCATCATGTCTCGCCGAAGCCAGCGCCTCACCCGCTACTCCCAGGCTGACGACGACAGCAGCAGTGGTGGGAGCTCGGTGACGGGCAGCCAGGGCACCCTGTTCAAAGACAGCCCTCTCAGGTAGGGGAATCTCAGAGCAGAGGGCTCGAGCAGTTCACGGTGCAGCCCCTTCCTGTTGCCATATCTGTGGGCAGAGATCAGATGCCCATATCCGGTCAGGGGGACATTCACACTTTTGAGGATCCGGGACCCTGCCCTGTTTCCTGTTTCTTCTTCCCCTGTCATAAGCCAGGCTGCTGCCCCCATGTTCTGAGAACAGGAAGTGGGGAGAGGCAACTTCAAGAATAAGCCAGGCCAGCTGCCCCGAAACTGCCAGCTGGGCTCACAGGAGCCCTTTTTGCTATGGACGGGCATGCCCGACCAGCCATCCTCCCCAGACCCATACCTAGGCGTTGCACCCTCTGTAGGGCCTCCGCAGGGCCAGCGAAGAAGCTGAGAAGAGGAACAAGCTCAAGCGGGGGGGGGGCCCTCATCCTGCCCCCTCCCTTGCACACACCAGGCCCAGATAACAGCCCCCGAGGCCTTGGCCTGCTCTAGGTGGCCAGGTCGGGTTTGTCTGCGTTTCCAGTGGGTTGTGGAAATTACTAATTGGTTAAGAAGCATGAGAAAAATATTTGGCTTCAAAGTTAGCTAGATTTGAATCCCGGCTCCGTCACTAGCCTGCTCTTCTCCCCTAGCTGCCTGTGGGGTTTAGAGCTAATGCGAGCAGAGTGAGCCTGCGCCCCGCAGCCTATAGGTGGGAACTGTTAGTTGCCTGGCAACAGGGCCGCCCTCCTCAGCTAGGTGGCAGAGCAGCTGGCTTTCAGCTTCCTGGCTGGGCTCACCTGCCTGTGCCGGCTTCTCCCCTCCTGGCCAACCCCCCACAGGACCTTGAAGAGGAAATCCAGCAACACGAAGCGCCTCTCCCCAGTGCCTCAGTTGGGCCCCTCTGCCGACACGCACACCTCCTACTACAGCGAGTCAGTGGTCAGGGAGTCCTACTTTGGCAGCCCCCGGGCCGCCTCCCTCGCCAGGAGCGCCATCCTCGACGACCAGCTGCAAAGTGACCCCTACTGGAGTGAGTGTCCCAAACCTTTCTCCTGGGGCTTTGCTTCCTTAAGAAACTTAAGGTTGAAAATCTGCCCCGCACCCTCCGTCCAGGCCCCTGGGGTCCTAACCACTGCTGGGCCAGAGGAGGGGCTCTGAAACCCTTGGAAGAGCAGCCGAGTGTCTGAACTCCCAGGCCCCTTTAGACGCGACAGTAGCCACACAGCAGCTCCAAACCCAGGAGACAGAGTGGCCAACCCGCTCACCCTCCCGTGGACCTAGAGAGCTTGGCGAGGAAGGGCCGATACCCCCTGTGCACGAAGATGCTCCTCAGGGTGTCCCCATGAGACCCTCGGGAATCCCCTCCTGGGAGCATCTCTGCCCCAGGAGACCCCGCTTCTTCCCTCCCCAGGTGAGGACTTTCGGGTGAGGAGGTCGAGAGGCACAGGTGGCAGAGAGAGTGGCAAGATCAACGGGCTCCCGGAGAGCAAGATCTCTGAGGACTTCCTCGGGTCTTCCTCTGGCTACTCTTCCGAGGATGACTATGTGGGTAGGCAATGCCCTCCCTTGCCAGTCTCGGGAGCTGCCCAGGTTTGGGCTGCTGGGGAGGTGAGGGGAAGTTGCCCCGACAGCTTGACAGAGTGCAGTGTCCAGTGGGTGCCTCTGCACACTGGCTGAGTGTCCCCTCATGCCACCATGATATCCCGAATCCAGACCTGGGATGGCCCTCAACACACTGGCTGTGACCCCACTGCCACCAGTCTGTAGGCAGCCTGTGGTCAACTCCACCTTGTTCGACTCATTTCCAGCAAACATTTTTTTTTTTTTGACAGGGCATCTCTCATATTTATCCAGCAAACATTTTAATGTGGGGCTACACACATGGGAGGTGCTCCATCCCTTAGTCTAGTTCTGGATGGTGGTTTGAGAGGTTGCTGGGGCGGAGAGGGAGGCAGACGAGAAGCTTAAGGGAAATAAAATGACAGAATCTACCGTGTTCTTCCTTCAGCAGACATTTCCTGGCCTCCTAGGTGCTATGCCCGTGTGATGCTCTGGGAGTGCGAGGGAGTGGTGCATGGTCTCAGCTCACAGTCTGAAGGGCTGAGAAGATAATAGGTCGCAGGCAGTCTCCATACCCCAGGGCTCTTAGAAGTGCAGACAGACTGAGCTGGTTTCTTGCCTGTTCCTGCAGGATACTCAGAGACAGACCAGAGGAGTCCAGGTTCACGGTTAAGCAACGCTTTTTCTCGGGCAGGCTCTTTCTTGTGGATGGTGGTCACCTCTCCAGGTGGGTGCTGGCTATTCTGTGCATGGTTATTCTCATTTGCCATGGGAGTCACTTCTCAGCCCTCTCTATGCAGTTAAGCATCCAGCCCATACAGAGACACCGCATGACTAGCAAGGAAAGCTTGTTCTAGAATAATCACTAGGAGCCAAGAGCCATGGGAACAACACCCTTGCTTGGAAGGGCAGGAGCAGGTATAGGGCAGAACAGAGGGCTATGGTAGGGTGGGCAGGTGGGATTAGAGGAATGAGTAGCTGGAGGCCAGGACAGAGGTGCCCTGGCAAGTCAGTGGGGGCAGGGGGTGGGGGGGTTGCAGAGGACCCCGGGGGGAGTGGTGCTGTGAAACCACAACCCACAGGTCGCCAGCGCCAGGTGACACTTAGGTCTAATGGTCCCTCTCCTAGGCCGGCTCTTTGGACTCCTGTACTGGTGGGTTGGCACCACCTGGTACCGCCTGACAACAGCCGCCTCCCTCCTTGATGTCTTCGTTTTAACCAGGTGAGTGAGACTCCCACCGGATGAGAGTGCCTCAGAAAACCCAGGGACAGAAGGGACCCATAAAGCCTCCAGCCTGGTCATTTCTCTGCAGGTTTTTCCCAGTTTACCTGCAGCTTTTACTAGTGAGTGTGGAGTGGGCTCCCCCAGCCCCTCTCTGCTGACGGGGTGGGACCGAGTCAGGTGTTACTCCCTGAATTGAGGAGTATTCTGCAACATAGGTTCTTGTCTCTTGGACACTTCCTGCCAAATGCCAGCCCATCCAGCCACTTCTGAGTCTCAGACAGGCCTGCTTACTCCTGCTGGCCAGGCCCTTGGCTCTAGCCAACAAGTGGCATTTCCAGAAAGTTCAGCTTCCCTCTCAGCCCTGTGGCGATCTAGACCCCTGGTGATTTCTGCTGCATGTTCAGAAGCTAGGAAGGGGCGCAGCCTGGGGCTGCTGTGGGTTTGTCCCCCAATTCTCTGGCCCAGCAGAGTTGGGAACTGGCCGCTTGGCAGAGGAAAGGAGACTGAGCCAGGCAGTGAGGGACCCCCTGGCTGTAATCCTGGCTGGGGTGGGTGGCCAGCTGTGCTGAGAAGAAGGGGCAGGACAGATTTGTGTCACCAAGGAAAGGTTCCTTTTCAAAATAGTTTATTTTAGGAGTTCTGTATTTTTTCTGTATTTGCTTGTTTGGAGGACCTCTATATGTGAAAATTTTAGGTTTTTCAAAGGCCCCACCATTTCTTTTTAATAATACAAACAAAATTCACAGAGTTAGAATTCTCCCCATTCCAAAACCTGCAGGTAAAGAGCTTTGAGTGGCAACATGAGACACTTAAGGGCATCCCCCCCCCTCAACCTGGGTTCAGCACTCAGGAAAGCCCCTGGGGGGTGGGGAGACCCTAGCCCCTCCCGACACCACCGCTCCGTCTCCCTCCCGTATGCCAGGCGCTTTTCGTCTCTGCGGACGTTCCTGTGGTTCCTCCTGCTGCTGCTGCTCCTGACGGGCCTGACCTACGGTGAGCTCGCCCGCTTGCAGGGGAGGCGTGGGGTGAGCGTGCCTCGCCACTAGGGGACTGGTGAGCCAGAGGGCGGGGCCGAGTGTGGGTGGAAGCTGCGCAGAAGCGTGAAAAACAGGGATGGTGGTGGCCTATGAGAAAGGGAGGGACCCAGAACGGGTGGGGCCCTGCGGGGCCTGGGCTACTCGAGACCTGAGCCCTAGGCCACTGCTCTCTGGCTCTCCTGGGTCCTCTACTGACTGATGCTGTGACGTTCTTGGGGTGTCCAGTGGGTGGGAGGGGAGATGCCCCATCCACTGGTCTGTCCTTGGTTGGGTAGCTGCTCTGGACCTCCTGGTTTGTCTAGAGCTTCCTTGGAGCCACCTGGGCCAGAATATGCTCTGCTGCAGAAGTACTGGGGTGGAGTGGGACGCTGACACAGCGGCACTAGCAGTCATTTGCCTTCCATTTCCAAGTCAGGATGTAGTCTGGGTGAGTGAATTACTGTTACAAAGTCAGGTTCAGTCTTCAGCTATCTTCAAGATCAAAACAACAAAGATAAAGTAGTAAAGAGAAGTAAGTAAAAAAAGGTCCTTTACATGCTTCCAATCTCCATAATTGGACTTCACACCTTTCACACAACAGCAATCATTGTTGATATATTTGTTGTGTTCAACTTTTGACGGTTCCATGTGAGTTGCCTCCATGGCTCCCAGGTTCAATTTTAATGATTGTGGTAATTTATAATTAAAGACCATCCTTTATTTTTTGGGAGGGTTTTGTTTTATAGGTTTATCATTTACTCGTATTTCGTTAATACTAATGTAAAACATTTTCCCAAGAGTTGATTTCCTTCTCATTTCCTGTTACAAGAACAGCTTGTTCATATCCAGTGGAAACTGGGCGTTGCCCTTAAAATAAGAATGATCCATATAATCCTAGCATTTTGTTGAGGAAAAAAGTTCCACATGCTCAGTTTGAGTTTCACCATCACCTTGGCTGGGCGGAGCTGTGAGGACGGCCTGGTAAGGAGATGCCTGTGGAGTGTCTGAAGGGCTGAGGAGTGGAGTGACCTGCTGCAGGTGTAGGAAGTGACAGTGTGCCCAGAGGGTCTGACCTAAAGCCCAGAGGTCACGTGCTTCTCACTGCCGACAGCTAAGTGGCAAGTCGGGTGTCTCACCAGGATGGAGACCCCTCAGCCAGCACGGCTTTTTCAGACGCCCTCACTCTGACCATGTCCTGCAGCCTTGTGCTGTGCCCTGGGGCTGCAAGCAGCTTCTCTCAGTGGGTATACTCTGTTTCAGGACTCTCTGCCATGGCAGCCCATTATAGTCACCTGGGGAGCTTTTAAAATTTACTTATGTAGAGCTTTCCCAGCCCAGTGAATTCACTCTCTGGAGAGCAGGGCCAGACGCTGGGTGTTTTAAAAGCTCCCTCTGTGATTCTGATGTACGTCTAGGCTGTGAATCACCATCAGGGCCTCTGGGTTCTACCCCTGGGTCATCCCTAGCTTATTAGAGCCATTTTCTCCAACTTCTACAGAAAGATGAGGATTCCTCGGGGAAGTGGGAGTATACATACTGTCAGGTGGAGGTTGCTGCCTCAGAATCACGGGACCTTCCATCCGTCATATAGCCTCTGGCAGCAACTCTGAGCCTGGCTGGTAACTGGTGTTGGTTAGGGTGCCATCTTCCCCACTGTGTTCTTCTTGCTCATGGCTACTGGCCCAGGTAACCACCCTCTCCACTCTGTACAGGCGCTTGGTTTTTCTACCCTTATGGGCTGCAGACCTTCCACCCTGCTATGGTTTCCTGGTGGGCAGCGACAGGGGGCAGCAGACAGCGTGAAGTGTGGGAGTCCAGAGACTCGTCCCCACATCTCCAGGTGAGTACCCTGGGCTCCAGGCCCTCTCTCAGCCTGTGTTGGGGTGGATTGCCCTGTCTTTGCACTTTACATATGAAGCTGAGAAGAGGTGCTGTCCTCGCTGGTACCCTGCCTTGTCTCCTGGGACACCCCTTTCTCTACTGTTTGGGGTGCAGGTATTGTTGGGAGCCAGGTTACTTGTGCTTCACTATGACTCAAAAGTGTCCCAAAGCTAATTGCCACCTTAAGCATAGAAAACAGAAGGAAAAGGAATTGGATAAATCATCTTGTCTACTTTGTTCCTTTTTAATATAATTTCACAAATACTAAGCACCTCCTACATGTACAGTAACACCCTGGTCAGTTACCTATTAACACAAATAAATCACCCCTAAAATCAGTGCTTTAAAACTGTAAGCATTTGATTAGCTCATGAGTGTGGGTCCTCGGGGTGGTTTTTCTGGTTTAAGCAAGGACGTGCTGATCTCAGTGGGGCGCCCTCACCATGTGGGCCCCTTGCCAGTCTGTAGTTGGCTGGTCTAGATCTGCTTGCATCGATCAGCAGGCTAGCCTGGGCTTGCACAAATAACCAGAATGTGTGTGCTGCAAGTACTGGGGTCAGCGATGCGAACTTAGAGCTCTTTATCCCCTAACTAGGTTATTTGAACTTAATTTGGTATCATTTTTAACCAATTATTTTGGGGGATATTACTTTACTGACCATGACCTTATTGTTTTCTAAAATAATGACATATTCTGATATTACTATTTTTGCCCTTTTTTAATCACTGAAGATGCTAAATACAGTTTTTAGGACCATCTTTTCTGTAAAGGGGGAAGTAAAGAATGAATGTATCTTTATTTTTCCATAAAGACACTAATAAAATAGTTGCCTGGTTTTGGGGCGGGGTTGAGGGCGCTGGGTGAAGGGGAGCACAGGTTAGGAGCATGACTTTTTGCTTTTTGAGTCAAGCAAGTATGCTGCCTATTTTTAAAATGGAATTTTTAAAAATCAGAAGCAACCTCTGCACTCAGTAGGCCCTGCCCTTTGACAGTTGACAGTGTTTCATAATTTCTCTTGGCAAAGATTTTGGTTGTTAAGCCAACAACGTTCTCAAAATTCATGGCATGCTACCCCGTGCCACCCTCCAGCCCAAATGACTTTGTTCTGTCTTCTCTGTGGGGCATCCAATGAAAGAAGAAAACGAAAGCCTTTTCAAATTACTAGCCTTTTAGCCGCGGTTATCTCTGGAAGGAGCCGGAGCTGTTGAGTTAGCAGCTGAGCCTCCCCCGCAGGCGCGTGTAGGAGAGGGAAGGAGGGACACACTCGGCCCAGCAGTCACCTGGCCCTGTGCAGTGTCCTGTGGCTCCTTCCAGGCTCTTCTCTGACTGTCCCTCCATTCGGACCCTCTGTGGGGGTGCTCTGCCCCTCTCACACCATCCACTGGCACACGTCCTCCGGGACAGTCCCGCCCATCATCCCCTTTATCGTGGCACCCCGGCCTTCACGGTCACCACAGCCACCGCATCCTGCTCCCTGCTGCTGTCCTACCTGCCTGCTCGGCGGAGACGGTGCTGAGAGCCTCAGAGCCAGCGTATCACACTGGGCGTGTCTGCCCTTTTCTTTTCACAAAGCACTGTGGTCATGGGTCCCTCATCTCTGTGGCTTTCCCCTCCCCACCCTGCCAGGCTGAGCAGCGCATTCTGTCCCGAGTCCACGCTGTGGAGCGGCGCCTGGAAGCTCTTGCTGCTGAATTTTCCTCCACCTGGCAGAAGGAGGCCATGCGGCTGGAACGCTTGGAGCTACGGCAAGGGGCCGCTGGTGAGAGAGGTGGTGGCAGCCTGAGCCACGAGGACACCCTGGCACTCCTGGAGGGACTGGTGAGCCGGCGTGAGGCCGCTCTGAGGGAGGACTTCCGCAAGGACACCGCTGCTCGGATCCAGGTGGGGGAGCGGAGCTGGGGTGTCCGGATGGGAGCTGAGTGTTGTGTGGGCGACACAGCAGGCATGTGGGGTAGAGGGGCCGAGGCGCTGACCACCCTGACATGAGGGGGATGGCAGTGTGTCACTTGGTGTCAGGCAGCTCTGCCGCTTGGCAGTCACTCACCTTCTCTGGGCCTTAGTTTCCTCCTCTTTAAAATGGAAATTCTCCCGTTTGCCCTCGTGCCCCAGTCCTGGCAGCGAGAACATGAGATTGTAGAGGGCCTGGCACAATGCCCGACACCACGTAGGTGTGCAGTAAAGATCAAGGGGAGTCTTGCCTGTTTCTGAGAAGCACTGTAGCAGAAAAGCCGGGAGCTGAACTTGGCCGTCAAACAAGCCTGGTTCGAATTCCAATTATATCTGACTGACTGATTGCAAGGGGCCCTCTGAGCAGTAAAATCCTCATCTCTCTCCTATGCTGGACAGGAAGAACTGGTCACCCTGAGGGCAGAACATCAACAAGACGCAGAAGACCTGTTCAAGAAGATTGTCCTGGCTTCCCAGGTCCGTGGGCTCGGGGGCACTTGGGGACTGCAGTGGGTCCTCATCCAGTTCATCATCTGTTCTTGGGCCAAGAGCCACCTTCCCTGCTGACGGGCCTGCCTAGGCACAGAATAGGGCTGGGGTACGGTCCAGGGACTTCTGCTGGAACTGCACCCACCTGGGCGGGAGTGCTTTGCAGGGCTCCACTGGGAGCGTCCCCGAGGACAGGAAGTGCTAGTTTGAAGGGGCCTGTTGTGCTGGGTGGAACATGCTGAATGAATGAGTGAATGTATGAATGCCTAAGTGTGTCGGGTACAGGGTGGGACTCTTGAAGGACCGCGACCAAGAGGCCAATTTGATGTTTGCTGGAGTAATTGGGAGACCTCGACGTAACCCAACAAGCCGAGAGGGACAGATCCTGCCTGGGAGACTGACTGCTCTGAGCCGGACATTCTTGTGTTTGTCTCTTCCCCCTGATTACAGGAGTCTGAGGCTCAACTCCACCAGCTGAAGTCCGAGTGGCAAAGGTAAGGGGCGCTGCCATTTGGACTAGGCCTGTTCTTTCCCCCGACCTCCCCAGCCCCTGGCACGACTAGGAAGCAGTCTAGGAGCAGAGTTCTGACTGTGTTCTGAGTAGAGTTGGGCTGAAACCTAGCCCAGGACCACCTGCTTAGAGTCTGTCCTTGAAATACAGTGGAAGCTGGAGGTGGGGGGTGGGCACTGCCAGAGAACTGGGATTTGTGGGTTTATTCACAGACACACCATCTTTTCTGTACAGCCTCGTGCAGGCTGCCTCCCCACGCCCCAGGCACCTGTGGTGGATGAGAGAGGCTGAGGCGATTGAATATGAACGTAGGCTTGGGAAGGGAACAGGGTAGGCATCAGGTCCTTGGGGCAGGCAAGCTGGTTCACAGGCCCTGTGTCCCCTGTGGGAAATGGGCCCATGCCTGTATCAGGAGCCGACAGGGGATCATCTTGTTTTCCTCAGCATGGCCTTACCCCTCAGCAGAGATCCAAGGCTTACTCTTCTCTCTCTGGGCGTAGGATGACCCAGGAGTCCTTCCGGGAGAACTCCATGAAGGAGCTGGGGCGGCTGGAGGGGCAGCTGGCAGGCCTGCGGCAGGAGCTGGCAGCCCTGAGCCTGAAGCAGAGCTCCGTGGCAGACCAAGTGGGCCTGCTGCCGCAGCAGGTTCAGGCCATGAGGGACGACGTGAGTTGGAACCATCCAGGTCCCCTGCTGAACACTGACACCATCTGTTCTGGGAATCTGCATGGCAAGGAGCCTGTTGCCCCTGCGGCCTGTTAGTCCCACAGGTCCCTGCTCTGGACTTGGCACAGATGTTAGCTTTCTTTGAGGGGGGTTCTACCTGTTTTTTTAATGACATGGAAGGTTGTTCATAGCCCTTCCCTCTGGGCAGCCTGAGCAGGCACGTGCTGGCCCTCCGCTTGCAGGCCCGCCTTCCTTCCCTATCCCCCCCACCGAAGCCAGGCGCCACCCCACCCTGGCCGGGCCCGCCATCACAGCTCTGGCAGACCCTGTGAGCCCTGAGTGAGGCTTTTTTTCTGTCCCTAGGTGGAGTCTCAGTTCCCCACCTGGGCCAGTCAGTTCCTTCTCCGAGGTGGGGGAACCCGCAGCGGACTCCTTCAGAGAGAGGAGATGCAAGCCCAGCTGCAGGAGCTGGAGGGCAAGATCCTCGCCCACGTGGCAGAGATGCAGGGCAAGTCAGCGAGGGAGGCTGCAGCCAGCCTGGAGCTGACACTGCAGAAGGAAGGTGTGATTGGGGTGACAGAGGAGGTGAGGACCGTGCTTTCCCCCACCCACTGCTCTCCTCCTGGGGAGCCACAGACCTGCACAGTCCCACACTGCCAGCTCCCTGTAATGTTCCACGACCTAAATGACATGGGGGAGGTGATGTTTGCTTTGGGGCTTGTGTGGGAGGGTGGGGTACACCTGGGAAGTGGCATGTGTGTCTGTCTGGACACCAGCATGGTGCACACAAAAGACAGATCAGTTTATGGGTCCCTGGTCCCTGGCATTGGGGATGGGGGTGGACCGCCCTGCTTCCTGTCACAGCTGCTCTGGGTGCCTCTCTTTTAGCAGGTGCACCGCATTGTAAAGCAGGCCCTGAAGCGCTACAGTGAGGACCGCGTCGGGATGGTGGACTATGCTCTGGAGTCCGGAGGTGTGTGTGCCGTCCTCCTCCCTGGGCTGTGTACTCGTCTCCCACCCCGGCTGGCCCCCCCCACCCTCCCGGCATATGCCAGGGAGGCTGCGGGGCTAGGCAAGCAGGACTGGAAAGCAGCAGCAGTCTCCCAACCTAGAACTCACAACGAAGGCCAGGGAAGCAGCAGCAGCCTGAAGTCAGGATGATTAGAGCCCCATCCCTGCGGGGAGAGGCTGATGTTTACAGCAGCTCCGTGCTGGCTTAGATGTCCAGGTTGGGCCTGGGGCACCTGCCCTCCATCCTCAGGACACCGGCCATAGCAGTCCCTCCTTGGGCTCCCTTGGCTGGCAAGTGTGCTGTTTGTCTGGGTCTCCCTCTCCTGCTGGCGGCCTCTGGTGCCCACACTGTTTTTCTTTCCCATCCCAGGGGCCAGTGTTATCAGTACCCGATGTTCCGAGACCTACGAGACCAAGACGGCCCTCCTCAGCCTCTTTGGCATCCCCCTTTGGTACCACTCCCAGTCACCCCGAGTCATTCTCCAGGTAGGCACCCAGTAAAGGCCATGAGCATGGGCCCTGAGCCTGCGGAGTCATCTACTGGCTGGGTGACTGTCCAGTGTCAGCTGGGGAGAGCTGCACTCAGGGTGAGCTGTCTTAAATCAACCCTGCGCTGACTTTTCTTCTCCAGCCAGACGTTCACCCAGGCAACTGCTGGGCCTTCCAGGGGCCTCAGGGCTTTGCTGTTGTCCGCCTTTCTGCCCGCATCCGCCCCACAGCTGTCACCTTAGAGCATGTGCCAAAGTCCTTGTCGCCCAACAGCACCATTTCCAGCGCCCCCAAGGACTTTGCTGTCTTTGTGAGTATCATACCTGGGTGGGTTTGGAGGGGCTGTAGAACTCTGTGAATCACTACTGAGGATGAAGTGGGGATCATTTTTTGGCTGGGGGCAGGGGGGAAGATTTGGGAGAGATGGTGCGCAAGTGGGAAATGGCACTTCAGTCCGTTATCCTAGGCTGTAGAGGAAGGTGACTCATCCCAAACGCCACAGCACCCGTGTCCCGTGCTCAGGTCCCCTGCAGTGACACAGGCTGGGGCCCGGCCGCCGGGGTGGAAGGGGCCAGTGCGGGAACGGGGAGGAAGGCTCTTCTCCCCCCGGGCCAGGTGTGAGTCCGGGAGCAGGTCTTCCTTCCACCCTCCTTCTCTTTGCAGGGGCTCGATGAAGACCTGCAGCAGGAGGGGATGCTTCTTGGCCAGTTCACCTATGACCAGGATGGGGAGCCTATTCAGACCTTTTATTTTCAGGTACAGGATTCACTTACGCTAGCAGAGGTGACATACTCCCTTCCCATCCATTCAGCTGACATTTTCTGAGCACTTACCCGGTACCTGGCACTGGGGGTTCAGAGCTAGAAACTGCAGCCCCTGCCTTCCTACAGCTCAAGGTATGGGGCAGACAGCTGTCTAGGTGGTGTGGGAGAGGCACCAAGCAGACACCAGCGTGAGGCCCCCTGGGTATGAAGGCTTGGGAAGGCTGCCTGGAAGTCAGGTGTCTGAGTGTGGCCCAGGTGGGCCTCAGGCAGTACAGCCTGGCTGGGCCAGAGGGAGTGGGCACCAGTCTCATAGCCTCTTAGAAATGCAGTCTCAGCCTCCACTCTGGGGGACTGATTCCTTAGGGTTGACGGGACCCAGGAGACTGTGTTCTAACAAACAGCCCAGATGAACTCCTGAGAGCCACGCCAGGGGTGAGGGATCAGAATACAACCAGTGTGAGAAACTGAGTGCGATTGGGGGTGTGAGGTGGAGGATGGTGGCGGGAAGAAAGGCCGGAGAGAGGCAGGCCTGCCTACAAAGCCAAAGAAGTTTCAGCCCTCAGGACTGGCGTGGGAGGGGTGGCCATTGCAGTGTTTCAGGCTGGCAAGTGACAATGTAACGTGGGTTGCAGTCAAATCTGGGACTGCATGTAAGCTGTGAATCTAAGCGGTCAAGCCCGGAGGCAGGGCTAGGCGGGAAGTGCTTGCAGGGAAGCAGGCCAGAGAGTAGCCTGGGGGTGAGGATGGAGAGGCCGTGGGCTACCCAGCTGGGGGTGCCCCTGAGCATCGGGTTGGACAGCAGGGAAGGTGGAAGTGAGGACGGCTCCCAGGTGCCCAGGAGGGCTAACACAGAGGTGGGCGTGTGTTTGGTCACCGAGTCTGAGGCACCCGTGGGACAGTCCAGTAGAGCTGTGGGTGCCTGTGAGGAGACAGGCGGAACTGTCAGCTCTGGGGCCGTAATGAGCCATGGCAGTGGTTGGGACTCCTCGGGGATGTGTGCAGACTGAGCCTTTAGGAGAGGGTAGTGGACCAGGATGAGGCTGTGGAGAAGGGCAGAGGGAGAGAGGGAGAGCTGGGGAGCACTGTGTTGGTGGCATCGAACCAGGGGAGCTTTGCTCCAAAAGCTGGCTCAACAATTGTGGCTTTGTGAGCATGGAAAACAGAGGCCTGATGGGAACTTGAGAAATAACAGAAGAAATTCTTCTTAATTCATAGTAAAGGAATTCTCGTCCACTGCATTTATCAAACCCTCCGTGAAGGTAGTTTTGACCATTGGCTATAATGATAAAAGAGCTCTTATGAGGTCAGGTTGGGAAGAATTGTGCTGGTGCTTGGCTGTGAGGCCTTATTTATGTGGCAGTGGGTCAGTGGCCCCTGTAGGACCCTCTGAAGTCCCGGGGCTCCTTGGCCCATCAGCTATAAACTCTGCTTCAGGGTCTGAAGACAGGAGCTTTGAAGTCCAGTTCTCTGCAGAGGCCTAGGGGAGGGGGGCACCTGGCCTGTGGACACATTCCTCCCCTGAGATCTGAGAGCTCTGGCACTCTTAATCCCTTCCTTCTCTACCCAGGACCCTAAAATGGCTACATACCAGGTGGTGGAGCTAAGGATCCTGACTAACTGGGGCCACCCCGAGTACACCTGCATCTACCGCTTCCGGGTGCACGGGGAGCCTGCCCACTAGGCCTTCTCTGCACTGCTGCCAGCCAGGAGGCCAACTCCTTTCAGCACATGCCCCCTTCTCTGGGAGTTGGAGCACAGCACCTCTGCCACGTCCCCCACATGCTTGATCAACACACTGGCTTCCAGGAGCAAGAACCCTGCCCAATCGAGATGAGAAAGAACATGCAGGGCTTTTTTGTGGATGGCTTGAGTGGGCAGCTGGCACCAGCATCTCCTTTCATTTTCGTCTTTTCGTGCCAGGCACTGGGCATCTACTGCTCCTTCCTGGGAGGGTGTATATATGTAGCATATCATGGGGGATTGAGAAGCAGGGAGGGAGGTGACAAGTGAACATCTTCCAGCAAAGGTGGTTGAGACCTGATGGCCACTGACCTATGGTGGAGAGGCTAGCACCCAAGGAGCTGTGCCAAAGCTGCAGGTGGGATGGACTAGGGCCTGGGGCAGGTGAGTTGCCTCCTCCCCAGACAAGGAAGTGCAGTCCTCTGGGAAGAGGGTGTTCTCGATGCAGGTTGGGACTGAGGCTAGGCAGGAGGCTCCTGGTAGAGGGCAGCTGGGTTTTCCCAGAAGGCTAGTGCCACCAATCTAGGGGAATCTGGCCTTCATGCACTGTATTTGTCCTGGGTTGAAGTCGGCCATGAGGCTTCTTACGCCCTTGAGGGTCTGGCTCCTGTCTGTGTTGCTCTGAGGTGCCTAGCGGCCAGCCCTGTGCCCCTCTGCCGGGGGATAGTATTTTCTCTCCTGCTGCTGGGAGGCCCACTCTGCTCCCCATTCCTGCTAGGGCCTGCCTGTGCCACATTTCCCCACGGAGCAGGGAGCCCAGACCCATCCTTGGAGGCCATAAGCCATCTTTGGTCAGCTTAGAAATATGGGGAGCAGGGGACCCCTAGGCCCTTGAGGTGCTCTGGTTGAGGATGGTGCCGTTCAGGGTGTTATGGTGGGAGGAGCTTTGCACTGTGGGCCCCGCCCTACCCTCCATCCCAATGTAAGGGGCTCTAATCCTCAGCCACCCCTTTGGACTCTCAGCTCTTGCTCAGATCTATTTCCTTTCTGGCTCATTTTCTATGGCGGGAGGCACAGTCGGTGTACGGCTGGGTAGGGAAGGGGTCTGAGGCAGGGGCTTTTGGATCCAGCAGGCGCTGTTGTATTATGTATATATTTCTCAAGGTCTGATTTTAACTGAAAAGCTACGGGCTTGATTCCTGGCCCCGTTCTGTGGGGCACTGTGTGATTTTGGTTCCTTGTAACCTGGCTGTCACTGGTTCCAGCCTTATGGTCAGTTCTGGCCTACAGGGATGGGTTGGGAGGGGTTGCAGGAACGGCAGGTGCCTTGAGGAACAGGGCTGGGCCCCAGATGGGCCCCCAGGGGCAGGAGCTGGAGTGAAGGTGAGGCCATGGGCCGCCTGGTCCTCTAGCACTGGCCGCTGCACAGCCCCTGCCCCCAGGCCACCAGGTTTTGTTTTCAGTTCTCCTGTCACAAATGCTGCACTATTCGTTCTTAATTTTTTAATCTCAATTCTAATTTATGCCTATGCAAAAAATAAATTATGCCCAGGATTAATGGAGTTATGGCTTTTATCTGGCCACTGCATGAGGAATCTGTTCCAAATGAATTCTTGTCCAAAACAATGCTCCAAACACTTCTAATTAGAAACCCTGGGCCTTTCAGCTAAAACCCAGCAATCACGAGAGGCGGGGCCTGAGGCAGACCCTATTCTAGTGATTCTGGGCCAGGGTTTGGCTGGCAGGAGAAAGAAGTGAGGTGGGTTGATTAGCTGACATTGGTACCCCAATACGAAGCAGGTTCTTCCTGCATCTCTGTCATTTGAGAAGGTAGAAAAAGTTACCCACTTCCCTACTAACCACATCCCCATTCTGTGTGACAGTCCTTCTCTGTGGGAATTAGACATTTGCCCCTTCTACCTGTACTGGGACGGGACAAGGTGAGTCCCAAAAGAGCCAGGATCTGCCAGCTCAGTGGAGCAGGCCCTGGCCCTTCCCTGCAAGTATGTCTCCAGATTCAGTGCCTCCAATGAGTTGCTCAAAGGGCCAGGGATAGTTCCTCCACCAGACTTTCAAGCACAGTCTCTTGTCCTGATGGATGGCTGATCCCTATCACAGCTGAGAAAATAAAGGCAGGAACAGGTCAGTAGGGATGGGTCTGGGGCAAACCACCACAGGAGGGTGCTGGGTGGAGCACAATTGAGCTCTGAGGCTTTGGGCCCGTAACTCAACCCTCCCTACTCTATGTACTGGGAAAGAGCTGGACCTCAGCTCACCGCCCAGGACTGCTGCTCTACTGGCCCCTATTTTATTCAACACCTGCTCTGCATCCAGCACTTCTCAACAAGGGAGAAATCCCCAGGTGGCTCCAGTACAGTCCCTGCAACTTATCACACACTATCTGGGCTCGGTGCTGCTCCTGACCTCTGGGCCAGGCACGTACCCCCTGCCCACGTGCACTACTTCAAGTCCTACCAGCCCCTCCCGGCACGACCCACACCACCTTCTCCAGGGTTAAGTCCCATAGCCCCAATCAAACGTATACTTCCCCGGCATAGTCGTTGCCTTATTCTGTGCCAGAGGCCAATAAGCCACAACAGCGATCCCGACTGAATGAAACACCACTCGTGCTAGCTGAATGCATAGAAGGGTCAGGATTTGCCATTCAAGATGATCGGGTTAACAACTTTATTCTTTATCATCTACGAAAGGGCTGGTGTTTTGTTCCAAATGAATGGTTGGTAGGGCTGAGACCTAAAGGGGATCTTTGTAGTTCCTGTTAACAAGAGTAAAACGCTGTATTCAGTCAGCCCTATGCTAGCAGGTGCTAGCCTAGTGACCAGAGAGCCACAATGACCTGAGTGAGGGCAGAGGCCATGGTGGTGGCCACAAATTCCAAATGTAAATAAAGTGGTTATGCTCATAGGGGCAAAAGAGTTCGCACAGAAAGGTCCTGCCTTGTCCGAGTCCTGTGGGCACACACATTCCACAGTACCTGCCATGGGGACAGAGCAGGGGGTGTGGGCACTCAGCGTCGGAGCCCTCCTATTACGAAGGCACCAGTGGCAGCAGCCCCTGTAAGCAGAACCAGAGTCACAAAGCAAGCAGGAAACAGCCAGTAGACAAAGGCCACGTGGAGCAGTGCCTGGGGGTGAGGCCTGGGGCAAGCGCGCACACACACACACACCCCTGATGGGGGCGGTGGGGCACTGCTCTTCTGACCGCCAGTTTCCTTACCAGAAAGGGAAGAACCAACATCACCTCCCCCCAAGACGGGAGCTGCAGCAAAGTACAGCCAGGGAGACGGCTGGCAGAGCCCCGGCCACACAGCAGAGATGCGGCAATGCCACAGCTCTGCCTCTGAGCCTGTCCCCAGCTCTTGGCCTCTGCTATGGACTTGGAAGCCTGTGTGGGTGGGAGGCAGCACGGTACCCGTTCACAGGGCACCTCCCATGTGCTGGGCACACTAGGGCCACACATACCTTTTCACTGAAGCCTTACAACCCTGGCTGCAGGCATTTATCTGCCTCTTGCTGTAAAGGGGGAAAATGAGGTTCACAGGAGGCTGGCAATGTGTTCTGTGTCCCAGCTGGTGGAGGAACCTGTGTTTTGAAGCCATGCTGGCCTGAGAGAAGCTGGGCACCTCCTGGGCCTGCCCTGCTCCACAGCCAGGGGCTCTAGGGCAGGCAGAGCAAGGGGCCCCCAAGGCAGCCCCTCCACCTGCACGGGCTGGGCAGGGAACATGACACTGTCAACTTAGAACAAGTTTTATTTTGTGTCCTGGTCTGGTCGGTCCATGGCCACAGGTCACTGGTAACTAGAAATAGTTGGGAGAGAGGGACAGGATCAACAGTTCAGAGCAGGAGAAAGGGAGAAGGATTAAGGGTGGGGAAGGAGGCAAGGCTGAGGAAGGACCCAGCCAGCTGGGTGTCTGCCCAGCTAGGGAAAGAATGCATCTCTGCCCTAAACTGAGGGCTTCGGTCCATAGCTCAGACCAGGCTGGGTTGGGGCCAACACTGCCATCTCTGGCCTGGGCAACCCACCCCTACCCCGGGCAGATTCTCCAGGGGACTGGATGCTGTGCTGTGTCTGGAAGAGTGTTTTCATTGCCCCTGACCCCCACCCACACCCCAGTCAGGACTTCCAAACCTGGGGATCAGATCCTTTACGCTTATGCTCCTGTAGCAGCCATGGTGAGGCGACGTGGCAAAATGCAGTGGGGAAAGAGGGGGTCCAGTCCTGGCATGGCTCAGAGGAACACCTCCTATCCCCACCAACAAGAGGTGCTAGTGAGCATGACCCTGAGCAGGCCGACCCCAGTCTAGGTCGTCAGTGCCCCAAGGCCCAACAAGATTCAGAGCCAAAGTCCAAGCAAGGGGCAGCCAGACAAAAGCCTCCAGCTCAGAACCAGCAGAGCGGGGGTCGTCCCCAGCCAGCCAGGCAAACACAGGATTGTCTCAAAGGGGGGAGAAAACCCACCAGTTGTCTCTGGGTCAGTGGCAAGGGTCAGAGTTAGGGTTGGGGGAAATTCTACAATCCAAATGCCTCTCCTCTCCACACATGTACAGGTCATGACTTAGGAGCCTTCGGCAGTGCCTATCTTGGGGTTTGTGGGAAAAAATGGAGAGAAGAAAAGGGGAAGCTACCACTTTCCACCCTGCTAAACCCCGAATTCCCAAAAGGAGGGCTCACTGCTCGGGCAGCAGCAGACACCTACACCAAGAAGCCCTCAGCCCCAGTCCGGCTCCATGCACAGGGAAGGAGGGTGCTCTTCAGCTCCTGATGGCCCCCAGGGGTTCCCCCAGAGATGCACAGGCGGGTGGCCCAGCAGCCTGCTCCTGGGGGCGGGTGGCCAGTCACAGAGGAGAAGAGAGACAGCCAGGGCCCTGACCGGCCGCCCCCCTGCACCAGCACACCCACACACACGAGAGAGAGAGACATGTAATAAAAAGAATAAAAACTAAGGGCCCAGATGTACAAAAAAAGTTGAGTGAGGAAGAAGGCAGGGAGGAGGAGGGTGGGAGATGGTCAGTCCTCCAGAAGTCTGGCCACCTTCTCAGCTTATAAATTACAACCCCCCTGGAAAATGGGGGTGGGGAAGTGATGAGGCTCCGAAGGCGGCCTGGGAAGGGCGGGTGGTGGTCAGAGCTGTCTGGCCCATCCTGTGGAGCTGTGGCGGGGTGGTGGGGGTAGGCTGAGAGATTCAGCAGCCGCTGGCAGGAGTCACGCAGGCCCCCTGGGACTTCACCTTGTGACGCTGGCCCCCCCTCCGCCGGCCCCCGCTGCTGGGCTTGGGCTGAAAGGAGAAAGAAGGCTCTTGAGAAGCAGTGGTCCATCAGGAGCAGAGGACAGCAGAGAGAGGGAGGCAGCGGGAGACGGGCGGGCAGGCTGTGTGGTCCTAGCCTAGCTGAGCAATAGTCTGTGTGACCTGAGCATGACACCTCCCTCTGTCAGACAGAGCCTCCCTCACAGGGGGATGGGTCACGCTGGAGGGAGCAGGAACGAACATCTGCCACCACTAATGGTGGAAGGAGAAAGGCAGGGGCAGGGCCAGACCAAAGGCTCAACTCGGGAAAGAGAGCAGGACAAGTCCAGGCGGAAGCGTCCTTCTCCCGATGGAGCCTGGAAGGAGCCATGTGAGGGGCCACCAAGAGCACAGGGACACAGAGCCAGCAGGACACGCTGAGCAGGAGCCGTGCTGACACCAGACCCAAGGCCGCCTATCCCTCAAATGCTGATCAGGCCTGATTATATTGTGTCGGCCAGACCTCAGAAGTCTGAGAACACTGCCCTATGAAACAAACAGCTCACGTTTACATAGTACGTACGCGCCAAGAGTTGTGGGAAACACCCAAGAGTTGTGGGAAACACCTCCTATGACTTGGCCGCCAGTACCGGCTGACTAAGGCTCTCCCATTGCCTCCACAGCCCGGAGTAACCCGCTCCGGCCCCGCTCCCTGGAGGTGGCCAGAGGCCCAGGCCCAGCCCAGAAGCACACTCACCTGCAGCTGGAGACTGCTCGATGCCGCCGGCTGTGCAGCCCCTAGAGAGCAAGCTTCATCTCCTGGGGGGGGTGCCCCTACTGCCGGCCCGCCAGAGGGGCCCCCCTCTTCTCGCTTTGTCAGGGGGCCCTTTTTCGTTGACTGCATTTTAATCTGCTGGGGCTTGGAGTTCATTGGGGAGTTGTTGGTGGTCTGGAGGAGCTGCAGGAGCCAAGGGGGTAAGGGTGAGGCTAGAGCTGTGGGCAGTGGCTTCTGCTCAGCCGTCGGCCACCCTCCCAAGAACTTTCCTCTTCCTGGCCTGGCTGGTCCTGGCAGAGGCAGATGGCGGTAGGGCCATGACAGGGGCAGTGGGGTGAAGAGGTGTCCTGATCCCCACTCAGTGGCCCAAGGCTGCCACGGCCTGGTCTGACGTCTCACCTGCCTCAGCCCAGCCTAGCCAGGCTCCGTCCTATTCCCTGCCCTGGTCTTCCTCAGACAATCTGCGAACCTTGGCCCTGTCTCACTCAGCCCAGCTCCCAGGCCAGGGTCCAGCCTGCTTGGAGCCTGGTGAACTGAA